TTACAAAATGAAATGCTTGATCAACAATATTGCGCAGCAAAGTAGAAACCTGTAACAAAACAAAGTTTTTTTCAATTTTGTATTTACTTCTTCTTACAGGAGTGAGTGTTCATTGGCTGGGGGACTTTGTATTTGTGGAGAGTGGCCTGGGAGTAAGAGTGAAGTTTGACCTGACCAACACGGTCTACCTGACAGTGACCGCAGAGCACCTGGCAGCTACCAGGGGGCTGTGTGGAGTCTACAACAACAACGCTGACGGTAAGGAAAGTAGCATTTAGAGTCACGCATATATTCAGGTATTGTTTTTACTGTCCCTGACCCAGGGTTGCTTGTTCCCCATCTTCTTGTAGTATTACTTAGCTAATTTTAACTCTTTTAAGTTTCCAAGTTTACACCTTTGCTATGTACTCCTAACCTATTTGTATCTTGGTGCCGTAGATGATTTCACCACAATGGGTGGAACTGTGTCCCAGTATGCTGCCAGCTTTGGTAACTCATGGAGAGTTCCTGACCAGCAGAATGAAGTACTGCACTGCTATATTGAATGACTTATTCACTTTTTTTGCAACATTATAGCTTTTTGTTGTTATTATTATACTTTATTATTATTATTATAATTATTATAACCACATGATGTGGTCTGAATACAGTTGATGCTTCTAATATGATCCAAAAAAAATCAGCTAAAAAAAAGCCGGATTGTTGGAGATGAAAGGTCTTAGCGGATGTTTTTGATGTCAATGCAGAGTTCTGTGACACTTCTACTATATTTGAAACAAATGGCAAAGTGCGTTCATGAGATGGACCCTCTGTAATTGAGTCTCTGTGTGTCCCATGCTTCCCTCAGGGCTGCAGCGATGCGGCTGAGCTCGGTCACAGCTGCGATGTCTCAGGAGACCCTGGCCTGCGCAGACAGGCAGAGTCAGTGTGTCACCAACTGCAGGAAAACCCCTTCACACACTGCCACATCCGGGTCAGACACCTTCTGATATACACCACAGTCACATAGCATTACCAATGTTTGCTGTATTTGTTTTTAATTTGATAATAGTCCTTTTCTCATTTCTGCAAAGGCCTGTAATGAGCTATAAATCAAATTGCTCTTGAAAATAAATAATTTACCAGGGTTTAGCAAAGACTGGTTTTAGTTTAACCTACACTATTATCTTACACTGAAATCAATGAACAAACGTAATAAAATCCAGGTTAATAATTTATGATTTAAGATATGGCCATTTCTCATTAGTGTCTGTCTCTATTACTGTCTCTTACTTGTCACCCATTATTGCTGCACTCATTATTTATATATTATATATGATAACATATAGACATTTTTCACAGCAGCCATTATGACATGAAATAATAGGGTAAACACAGGTGTTACCAGTGATACTAATCCCAATGACATAATCAACATAATCAATACTGTGCATCCCTGTTAATTCAAGCACTTTTTACAGGATTTTTACATTTCTGACTTTGGAGACTGCTTGTAGCTGTATCAGAATGATTTTCTGTATGCTACTTGATGCAGATATAGTGTTGAATGACCCAGAAGTGATGAGTTTGTGCCTTTGTATCTTTCAGCTGGACCCTACAGTGTACATAGACACCTGTCTCTACCTATATTGTAGCCTGCCTCCCAAAGAAAGAGATTCGGCAGTGTGTGACACCCTGGCCAGCTATGCCCGAGAGTGTGCCCAGCAACACGTCATCATAATGTGGAGGACAGCCGCCCTATGTGGTAATTGAATATAATCCCATTAATTATCTTCACAGTTTAAATTGCGAAAGAACGAATGGATGGATGTTTCAAACACAGCTTGTATGGTAAACTGTGGAGATATCAATGTCTAAAGTAACATATTTTCTGCAAGTTTGATGGCAAGGGGCCTACATCAATAGGCTATAGGCTGTATGTGGGTGATATCAACATACTGACCCAGGAAAACATGCACTGAACATTTGACCAAGGGAAAGAACATAAAAGCCTTTAAAGAAGTCTCCAAGTACACACAAATAATATCTATCTAAGGTTAGCTAAAATTAGTCAAACTAAGTAAGGCTGTAGTGAAATTCTTTTGTATACTGAATTGAGCAGACTGTGTTACAGTCTTACATTATTGTCAACCATTTTCCAAATCATCCCATAACTTTTCAAATGGGTAATCTATTACAGTGAACATTTTGTTTAACCTGACTGCAGGTGGTTTGTTACAAACTTTTACCGAAGCCAGTCAGGAAAAAAGCGAAAACATATATTCTATCAAGAGAAGCCTTCAGTGCCGTTCTTTGATGTAACTTATGTTTGCAGCATCTATACTAACCTTATAAAAAGTTCAAATAAGTATGTTGCAGACTAGCATTGCATTCAAAAGCTGATTTGTTGGTCAAACCTGGAAAATGAACAATAGGAAAACATAGACAGGTGTAGTAAAGATAAATCTCAATTTAGTATTGTCTCACTTTCACAGTCATACTTCTGAGGTTACAGTTTCCCACAGGCACACAGAGGAAGTTTTTTCAAAGCAGTTGGGAAACAAAAAGGCACAGAAATGTTCACTGTAATGGGCAGACTGAAAAGGAATGTAAAGTACACATGATGCTAAAAGATGCAAAAGCACCATTACGGTACTTTAACTCTGTTTCCTTCTCTCTGTCTCTGTCTTCCAAGGTCGCGTCTGTCCCAGAGGTCAGGTGTTTTCAGACTGTGTGTCCTCCTGTCCCCCCAGCTGTGCATCTCCCCAGCCCCCAGGGCCTGCTGCAGCTATGGGCCAGTGTAGGGAGGAGTGTGTGGGGGGCTGCGAGTGTCCGCCAGGCCTCTACCTTCACCAGGGACTCTGTCTAAAAAGAGACGATTGTCCTTGTTTCCATCGCAGACGCACCTACCAGTCAGGGGACAGGATACAGCAGAGATGCAATACCTGGTATGAGTGTTTCCTAAGTCTCTTTCACCCTTTCCAATTCTTCTTTCTCTGACTTGCCAGCCTTCTTTTTTACTCTTAAAACTCCCAGTGTGTGCAGAGCAGGCCAGTGGGAGTGTACTGGGGAGAAGTGTGCAGCCCAGTGCAGCCTGATGGGGGCGCTACAGGTGACCACCTTTGATAAAAAGAGGTATTCACTACAGGGAGGAGACTGTTCCTTTACTGCTGTGGAGGTGAGATACATAAAATACAACTACGCATACAGTTACATACACTATGAGATGCATTTGTGTGTGTGTGGCAGCTACTTCTCCTCTGTGTGCTTATGAATTGTGTGTGTGTTCAGGACTTTGTTGACAGGAAGCTGGTGGTGAGTGTACGCTGTGGAGAGTGTACAGCAGGAAGAGGAGGAGGAGGAGAAGGAAGAAGTCTGGGTTGTGTAAGGGAGATGTTAGTCACAGCACTACGCACCACAGTGACCATCACAGACACTGGTGAGTAAGATACACACTCTGATGTGACTACTCTACACTTTGACAGCAGTGACAGTGAACATGACTAACCTTAAAGCTCCTATGTCTATTAAACTAACTGTTGATACAGAAATTAATTCATTCTGGTGAAGAGTCTCTGTGTTGTTTTCAGCCCATTCATTTTTAGTATTCCTATATCAGAACTATGGGTGGGAGAAAGCTTCCTCAGATTCGGTTTAAACTACTTCTCACATTTAACCATTTGCACACATTCATACAAAAACAAATTCATTCATACACATGCATACATGATGACACAGCATGGAGAGCAATTCCTTGGTCAATGACGTTTCGACATGCAGCGGGAGAGATTTTGTGGCATCTATGGGTGTTGTTTCTGATTGCTTCACCCTCCCCTTCCAAGAGGAAAAGAGAAACTACAGTGGCTGTGAAACGTGCAAAAAAACATTTAGGTTTTTCCCCTCTGGGCTACTGTAGAAATATGGCGGTTCAACATGACGGTCTCCATGGAGGGCAACCCTGTAGATAGAAACAGATAATTCTTAGCTAACAAAAACATACTGATTCTAATTTCCAGGTCCATTTCTGCCAATAGATCCTCCTAAATGTCACACACGGGACCTTTAAGGCAGCTAAAATGTGTGGATCGTTTTTCATGTTTTCCTCTATTGGTCCAGCAGCTGCCTTTAACAGTACTTGGATGTGCATGACTATTGTGCATGGCTCACTTGTAATGAAAATCTCCCAACTCTGCAGTTCTCCTCAGTTCTGTTTAGAATTTTTAGCATCTTTCAGCTCACTGTTTTGATTCTACTTCCCACAACTTCACTGTCTTTGTTCACTCTTTTGTTCAGTCCCCAACTCCGATAAACCCACTGTATATGGCAATATCAGCAACCAGCTGGTGAGCACAGAGGAACATTTAGCAGCTAAAGAGCCAGATATTTCCCTAAAAGAGAGTTAATATTGGACATTCATTAGGTGGACATAAACACAATTTTAAATGAATGCTGATGTTGGTCTTAGTGCCTAAGCCTTTGTCTGTGAAAAAAATGGAGAATCTTAGTGAACATTGGTGCAGTGTTGCAGTCAATTAATTTACTAAAGTCAGAAACTTTTTTTAAATTCAACACACATAGCTTCATGGCTTAACTTAACAAGTGACTGTAAGTCACTGGGAAGGAATTTTAAACCTGTACTCTCTTATGTGGGAATTATATTTGAATGATATGTTCACTGCCCTCTGATTGCTTACAGTTGGTATTGGTACTTCCAGGTACAGTGACACTGAACGGCCAGAGGGAGCTGTTGCCTGTGGTGACGGGAGACCTGGTTGTGCGTAGGGCCTCATCTTCATTTCTCCTTATCGAGACTTTTGGAGCCCAGCTGCTCTGGCACCTCGATGGACCTTTGGCTCTCATCACCCTGCAACCTGGCTTTGCAAACAAGGTGACCTTCGCACCTCATAGGGTCACTTTATTTAACTAAAGCAAAATGGAGAGAATTTGAAACTCTATGAGCAAACAAAAGTCAGTAATTCTACCAGTGTGTGGAATTGTTTTGTTGTTCTGGCTAGTAAAATGTAAATGCTGTATTCAAGGTGCGCGGCCTGTGTGGAACGCTGACCTGGAACCAGCATGACGACTTTACCACCCCAGAAGGAGACGTGGAGAACAGCGTGTCATCCTTTGCAGGAAAATTTACCACAGAACAATGCTCTCTACCTAGAGGAGCTCCTCCTGACCCCTGCACCACATACACCCAGAGGAGACAGTACGCAGAGACAGTGTGCTCCATCATACACAGCCCCGTCTTTCAGGTAGTGTGTGTTAAATCTCCCGCTATCTCAGGAGGGAGTTCATCTTTGTCTGTCTTCACACATGCACCTTCCTCTCTGATTCTCTAGGTGTGCCATGATGTGGTGGAGAGGGAGCCCTATTTCCGTCTCTGCCTGTCGGAGGTTTGCAGCTGCGCTCCACAGAGGACCTGTCACTGCACTATCCTCACCGCCTACACCCAACACTGCGCTCAGGAGGGCGTCGCCGTCCACTGGCGCAATCAGACCTTCTGCCGTAAGTGGGGAGGTCATTGGTTGGGTGGTGTTTCAGGATGTCCACTACAAGTTACCATGGTAGTATGGAGTTTGTAGATATATGTCCAAAGTAATTGTCTTTCTCAGTGAAGTTAGGAGAAATACATTACAGATAGGTCATCTACTGATCAACACTGCATTCATTTTATTTGTTTGTTCATTCTGTCCTGGGAATAATCTCAGACACCATGACTGGTACAGGACACAACTGTGGCCTTTTCCTCTGTGAAGTCACATGACTTCGTCTGAGTTTGACATCAGCCTCAAAAAAGACTTACAGTATAAGTTGACTTTGACTTTCATCATCACTAACTTGTGACTTGGACTTACAGCTTTTGACTTGAAAGATTTGATCTTCTTTGCAAGTCTTTGATGGCAGCAAATCCAGAGACAGCTCAGACACGCTGGCCGACTTAAAGGACTATAAGGAATTTATCTAATTGAGTCTTTTGAAGCTATAGAATCAATTTGAAATTTGTGCATCCATGTGCACCCTCTCAGGTGGGAATTAAAACAAACAAAACTGAGGAACCCTTAAGAATTTAGTGCCCTTTAGCTTTAAACCCTTAAAACCATAATCACAAACTGTACCAAGCTATTTTGTATTTCTCAAAACCTTTCCTCCTGTCCCGTCTTCCCAGCGGTCCAGTGTTCGGGGGGTCAGGTGTACCAGGAATGTGGTCACGCCTGTGGGGGCTCCTGTTCAGAGGGCTGGAACTGCGATGACGGTGGTGGTGGAATGGGTCTCAGGACTTGTGTTCCAGGTTGCCAGTGCCCACCAGGACTAGTGCAGGACCACCAGGGCCAGTGTGTTCCCATTGCTATGTGCCCCTGTGTGCAAGGAGAGAAGACATACCAGCCGGGGGATGTTATTCAGAACAACTGTAATACCTGGTATGTAGTAGGGAAGAACTTTAGACTGGGATTTCACCAATTTGTTTAAATCAGGAATTTTGAGCATTTTCACTGATAATGTAGGTTTCAAACATTGGACAAACATGTTTTGCTGTAAATATGATCTAATAGACCTTTTTCCTTTTATTTATTTTTTTTGGGGGGGGCTTTGGGTGGGGGGGGGGGCCTTTTTTTTTGCCTTTATGATAGTGAACAAGCTGAAGATAGACAGGAAAGGGGGCAGAGAGAGGGGAATAAACACACACCGGCAGGTCGGATTCAAAACCCCTGGGCCACCTTGCAGCAATCAGCCTTGGTACATGGGTCGCCAGCTCTACCCACTGAGCTAACCGGGCACCCCCAATAGACCTTTTTCCATAGCATTTATTGGTACAATTAAACCATAGTTTTCTACTTGCTACTTAGGTCTCATTTCTAAACCTTCTTTGACTCTTAATTGCAAAATTTCACTTAAAAGATTAACATTGCTGCACAGATGCAATACTCTTGCAACAAGGACAGCAACCATACTAAACCTGTCAGAGTAAAATAGCATGGTAGAGGTTAGTTCAGTGCGTAGAGATTTTTACAGCACGTCATAAAAACAGCCCTTTCTCTTTCATGGCTATCTATGCTGCTTTTATCGTACTGTAGTTGATAAAGAATCAGAGGGTGTAAGCATGTTTTCGCCATTGTCAGTAGAACAGAGCTTTGACGCAACTACAATATACTATTGCCACAGTTTCATGAGCATGGCTCTCGTATTTTTGAATGAGCCTTGATCCCATGGGGTGATTTAGATCATGTGCTAATAAATAGGAATAGACAGTTTTATCAAATATCTGGTATGTCTGCTAAAAGCTAAGAAATAACTTGCTTGTTTTTTTGAGGAAAATATGAAAGGTCAGGGGTCAGTGTGACAGTGCTATAGACCTTTTTCACAGCAGCCATTTTGAGATGAAAGGGTAAACACAGGCGTTACCAATGATAATAATTAAAGGGTATATTTTGGTATCTTTCAACCTGGATCTTATTTTCTCAGCCTACAGCCACAAAACTGGCTACAATGTATTCCTTATGGGCAAATGCGCACTGTCAAAATCTTGTTTTTGCTACTGACCAGCAACACGACTGTACAATGACATTTAATGTTTTCTCTACCTTTTGCTATCTCCACTTGTTTGTGTTCCTGCAACAAGTTCTGAACAGGCTGCAGTACTCTCACTCAATATTCGACCAAATTCAAAACTTTTAGTCATTTTGTCACAAAAACATGGGAAAATAAGGTTGAAAAATACCAAAATTACCATATGAGGTTACGTTCAATTAAGAGATTAACAGAGTGAGGGTGCTGCTATTGTACATGTCGGTTTACTTGGAACCTCAATAAGTATCATTGATAACACCTGTGTTTACCCTACTATTTCATGTCAAAATGGCTGCTGTGAAAAAGGTCTATTGTTTTATAATGACAGAAGTAAATTATATAATTTTTTATGTGTTTTTCTACATTAACTTAAAGCCCCTTTGTGTTTCCAACCTGGCGCAGTGAGTACCTGGTGGTGTAAGGGCTCTGATGAAATCACCCTATGTTCCTGCTGCCTGATACAGGATAGGTTGATTTCATTGCGTCTCTTCACTACACAACCACAGTGATCATCGCTTTGTGGGTAGCAGTCATCTGTTAATGAGTCAGAGCAGTCACAGCAGTACAAGAAAGCAACTGATTAATTATTATATTTTATTATATGTGGATGTGTGTGTCTGTGCATTGCCCATTTTGTACGTGACCCATTTTCACTAAACTGCTGAGATGTGTCTCTGCACTGACCATTGACCTAATCAATTGCTATGATGAAAGGTGAAATTTGGATTGTGTAATTATTACAGATATAAAATATGACACGCAGTACATCCATTCACCTTGAATGACAACCCTTGGCTGTTGATTCAATATTTTCATCACACTTTACAGCACATCACACATTTTGTTGTTGCTTCATTACATTTTACAGCTAGAGTTTAGTAACTGTAAAGTAAAACTTTATTGATCCATAGTAGACTCTCTTGAGCCAGCAGATATGCTCAAGGGCAGAGCTCGAGATTCCTTTAACTGCTGGGCCAACTGGCCTCTACTTGCCTGCAGTTATTCCACTTATTTAAGGAATCATACTTTAATACAAAGCTTGATTTTTTGCTTTAAATAAGCTTTAATAGCCTTTCATGCGCGCCTGACATGATTAATATAGAATTAATTAGTCACTGTCAGTTCTAATTCTGCTCACTCTCCTCTTCCCTTCAGTGTGTGTGAGCAGGGGCGGTTTAACTGCACTCAGGAGCGCTGTGAGGAGGTGAACCGGTGTCCAGGCTCTCTGATCTACTCTCCACGCTCCTGCCTCCTCACCTGCTCCAGCCTGGACCCTCCTGGCCAACAGCAGGGGAGCAGCGTAGCCCTTTGGAGCTGCAGAGAGCCCCTGTCTGGCTGTGTCTGTCCTCAGGGAACTGTGCTGCTAGTGAGTGGAAACTCTTCTTTAGTTTCCTGACTGGATACAGGATAAAGGAAATCTTTTTGAAATGTAAACTGTTAAAAAAAAAACATCATACCTTTTTCACAGCAGACATTTTGAGTTGTCATAGCAGACAGGGCACAGGTGTAGTTCATTAACAATGGTTCTGTTCCATTCTAGTGTACAGTGAGCCAGCATTATGCTCTATATCAGGACAATGCAGCTGGTTAAGCTAAATAGAATGCAGCCGCTTTAAATACATAAGTTTATGTAATTAGGTCCCCCTGTGGTTTCCCTGATATCACATGTCCAAATATCTTCCATTAAAAAACTCCAACAATAGGTAGGTCAAGGCTTACATTTACACACA